AAGAGGTATTGAAAGCTACATATTTTTCTATTTTATTTTTACCAGAATCAAGCACCCTATTGTTTGTCTTGCCGGGGCCACGCTCCAAGGGAGACGCTGGTGCAGCGGTAGTATCATAAATATTACAGTTACAATGCTTTATACAAGTACATATTTCTGATAAATTTTGAAATCTATTTACAAATTGGGGAGCCATCCCCTTCTTTCCATTATTGCTCGTGCAACACCCCGGAGCAGGGGCCACTTTGTTGTGGTTTACTTCATTGTTTTGTGGAGCGAAGGCACCCAAGTGACCTAAGCTCCAAACTCTTTTCCCTGAGCTTTCATTTTAGCAGCCTGCTGATCGTAGAAGAAGGCCCGGATTTTGTCGTAGGATCAACCAGCCAGAGTCTGGAGCCGATCATCCGGTTTTTCGGATTCTAATTGGCGCCCTTGATTATTTTTTTGTTGAGTGGGCCTGCGCTCCTTTTCTGCAGTCTCAGGATGTGTGTCCCTCTTTGCCGCAATTGTAGCAGTTGCCCTTGAATCTGCGCATCTGTCCTCCTTTGACCGTGCCGATATCCATGGGGGCTCCCTGCCCTGGTTGCAGCCCGAATGGCTTGAACCCGTGAGAATGATTATGTTGGTTTGATGACCCAGGGCGCCTCTGGGAATGGTTGTTTTTGGTGGTCTTGCCACCTTGGTGCATTTTGTAGAGCTCTATGGCTCTACCTATTTTTTGAACCTCCTCTGCTGCTTGAGAGAGATTCTCATTTCTCATATCCTGCAGATAAAGCTGTTCTGCAATGTGGGGGTTCACATTGCGTTCCAGCAGCTCTACTGCATGTTCATTACCAAGACCCCCTTGGATGGAGAGGGCCAGGAACTGGGTTATGAAATCATCCGTTCTCATGTTGCCTTATTTGAAGGAACGGATTTGCTGACACACCCAGTCACGCTCAGTTTGCGGTTTGAAATATTTTTTGATCTCTACTTTGAGATCGTCCCAGGTGGGCCACACTCCCACGGTGTAGCATTCCTGTAATCTAACTTGGGTGTATTGACCCGCCACAGGTCCCTTTAGTCGAGATAGCACCGCAGTGGCTACCTCAAAATTGTCGGCAAATGCGTCCCAATTTGCCTTAACCCATATTTGGAGTTTTATCCACCATTCAGCAAATTGTGCTCTGTCTCCTTCGAAGGCGCTGGGGTCAGCAACGACTTCGACTTTCTTGTTGAACTTCTTTTCCACCGAGGGTGCTGCTGCAGGGGGTTTGCCTGTAGCTCAGCAAGTTGAGTGGTCAATGTCAAGATCTGTGCACGCATGTTGTACAACAGAGCGTTGACATCCATTTGAGGTTGCGACAACATGTCGACTTGTTCTCTTGTAAAGTAAAAAAAAGGTAACTGGGGGTCCCCGCTTGCTATCTGCGGATCAACCTCTTCCCAGCTGAGTATCGGATCTCAATCTCCGACTACCCACACTATAGTTTGAAAATTATATAAAAGGTATTCGTAATAAACCCTGGTCCAAACGGTTGTCAGGGGGTGGTCCGCTTGTTAAGCTGTCAACCCTTCTCCAGACTGGCGCAGGCAAGTGCCCGGCCCAGTCAGAGGTATTCGAAGAAGAAGTTTTTGTATTCTAAAATCTAATCAACAGAGGTTCCACACCAACTGCTGAGCTATGGTACTCCCTTTATTGCTGGGAGCCGCGTATCAAAGGTTTTGTTTCTTCTCCCAAAGCACTACAAGGCCGGTCGCAAAGAGCGCTGTCGATGATGAGAACTGCTGTTAGAAAACCACACACAAAAACAAACTAACACACAATCCTCCCAGATTCCACAGAACTTGTTTATGGGCTTTGCCTCCTAGAACAGTGGAGTGGTCTGGTTGTTCGTGGGGTGGTACGTATAAAGATCCTTCAAAGTAAAACCCAGAGATGTATGAGTGTGGGTTTTGAGGAGGAGGGATAGTTGAATTTATAGAAGATAGGGGCTTAGTGACGAGTATAGATGAGCACTACCTTGCTAATTGTAGCACAAGGTAGGTTTGAGAATGACGAGGATGACGAGGTGACGAGGTTCCCAGTGATAGCAGGCTTCTGACGCACAAACTGTAGTGCTCAGAAGGACTCTAATTGAAAGGGATGACAATGACTTCAAAAGTGGGAAGTGACGATGACAGCAGTTGACAGTGGTAGAAGTGGGAAGTGTTGTGACCACACTGGATCACAAGTAGCAGAGTAGTGAACTTGAGAGTAGAGAAGAAGTCTGGATTGGAGTTCTTGTTTTTTTTTACAAGGTAAAATACAGGGGTTTATATAGTAAAAGAAAAGTAGGCTATGCACAGTATAGCTGTGCAAAAAGAATGAGAAAGAACATGAAGGAAGGAATGTATGCTGACGAATCCTGCGTAGGTAGTACAGGATAAGATTGTCAAAAAAAGGAAAAGAAAGGGATAGAACAATGAATGCTGTGAGTAATGTCACAGGTTTGTACAGCCATAAAGTAAAGTCCAATAGCAAAAAGAGAGCAGGAAAATCATGATGTCATGGGAAGATGCAGTAAAAAAAAGGGCAAGGCAAAACACTATCAGTATCAACACAGTTCCTTTATTGTCAGTCAGGCATTCTAAAAAATATGTGTCCATAAAAATGATTCAAAAATCAAAAATAATCGCACTGTGATTGAATGTTCTGCTGGAAAAAAAGAAACTGGAGCCACCAGTCCACCACCTAGTCCAAATCTGACAGTTCCATGGCCTTACCAATGGACTGGTTGTGTTGGACCACCTGGTCAAACGAGGGAGGGAGAGGAGTAGTCCCAATTTGGAACAAGTGAGTCCCAGGCAGCGTGTGGTAGGTGTAGCTGTAGCGAAGATGATGGACAAATGATAAGTGTACTCAAGTGAATGGGACAGCAATGAACATGGGCAACGCAAGGAGATGAACCTTCTCCAGCTCAAAAACTACCCACCCACGCTCCAACCAGGCAAGACGAGCGACCAATGTTTTGATAGTATATGATGGTAGATCGACATCATAAAGATGGACCTGTTGCCCTATTTGAACCGGCCGCCGGGGCTTTGCTGATATCAGCAGTGGCACGTGGTAGTTGACGGATCGGCGACGGAAGTGGATAGGAAGTGGTGACATCAGAAATGGTGGGGGAGCAAAGAAGATGAGGAGGAGGAGGGTGGAGGTGATGAAAAAGTGGATTAGAATGGGTATCCAGAAACGACCATCAGGTGAGAATAAAAAGGAGAGGAAGGGGCCCATGGTGGGGCTAGGCAAAGGAAGGGAAGTGAAGGAAACGACAAAAGCGAGGGCGCAATGCAATGTGTAGCCAGTGGCGACGCGAAAATTTGCCAAAATGCCAAAACACGGAAAGTACCGGATGGAAAAGCAAAGGTGAGCGTGACTGGATTGCCTAAAAGAGGTGGTGCTGATCAGCCACAAGTTCAAAAAGGGCAATATTAATTACTATTCCACGTGGCACTGTGCCTGTGTGGCGCAAAGGCGAGTCTTTTTGAATATTTGCTTTGTTATTGACACCTGTCCATGCTACAAATCAACTTTGGTGCATGACAGCGCACCTATCTGCTATGTGGGATATTCCTAAACAATAACCAAATCTCCTTCACCCTGGAGTCCGGGTGCCCAGTGGGACTTTTTGTACAACGTGCAAGAGAGTAGAAGAGCAAGTCCTAATGTAACAACCAAGAGTTAGTTACTCTGGCACACACAAGAACACACTATAAAGGTAGTGAGGAGGGAGCGGTTACCCCTTAAGCTGCAGAGAGTTTGTTGGTATACAACAGGAGGACTCGCTGAGGAGTCTCCTTGATCTATTGGGGTATTTATACTAATACAGAGTGTTTGTACCTATGTACTGTACAGTTGATAAAAGCAGTGGCTGATGATGTCAGAGGACGCAGCTTGTGTGACCAGCTCCACTGCATGAGAAAGTTTGTGTCTAGAAGAAGAATAAAGGCAGCACTGCGCGAGAAGGTGGGGTTAGAACGAAAAAGGAAAGTGCCGCATGGCACGGAGTGTGAACTATAGTAAAAAAGGTTAAAGCGGAGAATGAAAATTAAAGGAAAGGTCTGAAAATTGTGTTATCGTAACACCCGTACCAGCCTGACATTTTTTTTTCAAGAAATTCTGTGCGTATTTGCAGAAGCTCCCCCAGAGTGGGCCACGGCCGCTTCCTCAGTGATAAATGTGTCGCAGTTTGTCTCTGTTTAGTATTGAATGTCGGGAAGATAAGTGCCAATGTGAATATGATGTCAAAAACATACCTTAAAGTTAGCGTTGATAGCATGATGTGACAATAAAAAATATAATTTAATAATAACCATACCATACTACGGATCTAGAAACTCCGAGTTTGAGTGACAGTTGCTGTCTTGCAAAAAGTCAGTAAAGACTGCATCGCTGCGTTTCTGAGACATGGGTGACAAGTTCCAGCCAGCATTGACATGGAGTGTTTGGTTCATGATTCACGGTTCCTTAGAATTGATAGTATACATTATTTGCTAGGTTGTACTTGACTTGATCCCCTACAACAAAAAATCACACCCCCCAAACCGACTCAGATCTGCACACATTGCTACGCATATAACGCCCCAGGATGGCACCCTTTGTGATAAAATTGGATAATGCCCAGACCAGGGATTGAACCTGGAACCTTCTGGATACATGCCAGCTGCTCTACCAATTGAGCTATATGGCCAAGGTTATACCATGTAGGATCTTAAACATGACATGCAACCACGGACGTCTTACACAGAATAGCTGCTGCATACTGGGCTGGCTTACAAATCAGAGGTATTATCCTATGGAGTATTGGTATGTCAGAGTATATTCTAACACTTTGTACGGGAAAAAAATTAGTATATCACCATTATCCTCACATCACAAGCCCCACCCACCGCATCCCACCTCTAAAAAAAAAGTGATGAAAGATTTAAAAAAAGCCCAATAAAGCCCTCCGCTCCACCAGCCCAACATGTCCACTCGCTCACATGCGCGCTTGCAACAAAGGCAAGATCTCCGTATATTCCACCAGATGGCTGGGACAGAGCTTTTTCCAGCAGCGAACGACGAGGCGCTCTAGCGGGCACAGCGATCGGATGAGGAAAGACTTGAATTGCGAGTGTGGCCAGGCACCCGAGTCTCTGCCACAGAAACAGACCTCGAGCTCTTGCAGCAGGGGAAGCGTCAGCCCGTCGAGCAGGATATCAAACCCTTTCGATACTCTGATCTCGATACGGCGTATCGAGGGATGGTGCAGGCACCCCGATTGGCGTATCGGCGTGATGTCGGCGTCGTTGACAGAAACCAGCGAGAGAGAGAGTCGCTCGAGCAGGGGACAGCTCTGCAGGACGCGTAGGAACGATTGTCCGCTAAGATTCGAGAAGGTCAATGTCAGGTCTGTTAGGCGGGCCCAGGGGGGATTGAGGGTGGCCAGAGACTCTACGTCTTGGCCGACAAAGCGAAGGCACAGAGTGCGCAGACGGGTGGCTGTATCTGAGATCACAAAACCTTCGTTGGGAAGTCTGCATCCCGTCAGTTGCAGGCGCTCCAGGGACGGGGTACACTGCAGAACCTCGCAGAAGGGGTTTCCGTTTGTGGTCGCCACCCAAAGATCCCTACAACGCGTAATATAGGGCCGCAGCCAATTCATCGGCTGATGTCTCTTCATCACGCCAGCCAGAGCATCGTTGTCATCCACGATAACACCGATGGATAGGGGAAGGCTCTTAGCCCTCGCGAGCCACGCTTCGTAGGGTGAGGACGAGTGCCCCGTTGCCTTTTGCAGCGAAACAGAAAGGGAACACCATAATTGGGGTACAGACAACGCGATTGTCCTCCAGCTGCGGCAGACCCGAGTCAAGAGCAAGGGGCAGTCTTCCACCCGTGGTCTGATGTAGTGTTCGCACGGTAGACACTGTATGAATATCTCGCCCATGATTTCGGCTGGGAGCCGGCGGACGGCAGAGACGAGTGTCTTGTGCGATCTCAACGAACCCTCCACATGCGTCCTGCTCTTCACCAGCACCGTGCGTGCCGCCCGCAGACGCTCCATGACGTTGTCCACTTGGAAAATCTCACTGTTCAGACTGGCGAGCTGCGTCTCGCGATCCGAAATCAAGTCTCGGATAGACTGGACATCTTCAAGCGAGGGGACAAAGTTCGTAGAATGATATTTGGTGACGTGCTCTTGCGAATCGCAAAACTGTAGGTATCAAACATGTGATGAGCCAGATCATCTCTGCAGTCAAGACGCTATCTCCCCACCTGTGGCGACAGTTTATAAAAACAAAGAACATGCGCACCGAAAAGGACTGGGTTAGAAAACGGCAACCCGTGGTGGGGCGAAACGTACCGGAAGTTGGTCTAAAAGCGCTAAGACTGTGCTCAGGATAGCCAATAGGGACATTTTCACTAGTTCTTTGCAGAAAAAGATGAGTGTAAAGTAGATGGTTCAGTGAAAGACAGGTATTCATGGGTGTCAGATGGGGGCAATGCTTCAGTCTGCCAGTGCTGCATGTAAACCTGCCGACGTCCATTCCCTGGGACAACCAGCCACGGGGCTAAAACGAGGATCCGAATATGTATGTGCAGCTAGAAGGGAACAAGTACGTCATGATCACGTGACTGTATTTAACTCGGCAAAGCTTGGTTGTCAAGCTTAAAAGTAAACATCTGCTACGACTTTATGGCGGGATATATTATGAAGCTTGCACATCGCACTCCTCTATACAGGCGGAACCTGAAGCGCAGGATCTTCGACAGGTCAAAAGAGGTCGTGTCGTACGGTTTGAGATGGGTCATCTCGATTTGTACGAGAAGAGGGGACCGATGATCCTTCGCCCCCGTGCGTACTGGTCACCTGGTGTGTTCAATATAGGCTTCAATCCAACGGAGAACTTACCAAGTCAGTGGAGGTTGACGGCAACCAAGTCATGCCTTTTTCATGTCTCTAACGTAGCACCCTGGGATATCAGAAAGCTAGAAAGCGGAGACGTGGCAGGCCCCCGAACGACGAAAAGAATCTCAACCGGTTTTGAAGTCAGAAACTTTGAAAAGGTATCATTCAATGGCCCCGCTATAAACTCGCAAACGGTCGTGCCTTGTGAGAAAATGATCAGCGCTATTGCAGAATATATTTGTCGCCGTGTAATGGTTCATAATTGCAAGATAATAAATAAGCGCCAGGCGATAGACGCCTCATGCAAGACCTTGAGGAGGCGCCAAAGCGGACCGTGCATAGCGGGCTCAGTAAAAATAACTGGGCTGCTGATACATGCTTGACTGGTGGTTATCGTCGAGGTAGGCGTCTAATATGACGGAGCGCCTGTTTATCTGAGTGCAATAAATATCACGACCTTTTAGACGCCAGACGGGGACATGCTCTTCGAGCTAAGAGCACCCTCTGATGAACGTTGACGCCGGGTCTGAGCAAGGTTCGGATAACATGGGCGTGAAGATAAGTTGTGTGCGAGCACTGCGGGTGACATTTTCCATGCAGGATAGCCGAAGTGGCAGTAGCGCCTTCTTGGTATCATGGTGCAGCATTAAAAAAAACTGGGGTATGCGTCCATGCATCATCGGTATGGCATGAATTCCTGGCAGCAGACGCTATTGATTATCGGTAGACCGTGATTGGCTGTCCCATTCAGTCACACGTTGGTGTAGGACTGCTCTGGGAGATGACAGAAGGTGCAAGCTCGTGACGTTCCAACCTCGGAGGCACGGTCGTCAAACTTGAAGCCCAAGACGTTCCTTCAAGGGTGTCGCCATCGAGTTTTCTAAAGATATGTCGAGATAAGAGTAGCGACGTGATTATTTCAGCCATACTAGATTTGTTTGATTGAAGAGTTGAGAAGAAAGGATGAAAGGATGCTGGAATGTGACAGTGACGGAATATTGAGCAATTTGCAGTGCCAAGTGTGGCGGTTACCACGGTTTCCCCCAGTTCGACGGGAGTGTTCTCACTCTGGGCGATCTTTGTCTTGTCCTCGACATATCGCAGAGAACTGGATGTCAGCGAACTAGGTATCATCCACGTTCGCATGCTACCATCGAGGTGTACTAAAATCAACTTATAGCCTAGTATCTACCACCCTCACGTATTTCACGTCGAGACCTTCAAGTTACCACTCGCTTCTAATCTTCACAAAAGTACCTTCTGAGCACCGAGCACGACATCTACAGCTCGCATTCGTTCCATCATGTCACCACCAGGTTATGACCGTTTACCCATGTACGCCGTTCCCTCCGACTCCTCCGAACCTCCCACCAGACCCCCCTCCCGCTCCTCCTCCCCCTCGCCCTCCCGCCGCACGCCCCGATCCCCCCGCCCCTCGTCTTCCCAATCCAAAACACACACACCCCGCCCCTGCCTCTCCATCCGCCCCCGCACCTGCTTCGGCCTGGAGTCTGCTTTCGGAACCAGGTGGGATAAAAGAGCGATCGAGGGAGATGGCACATTTGAGGGTGAAAGGCGCTCCGCTGGGCGGACGTGTATGCATCGGGGACTGGTGGCGAGGGTGAGAGGACGGCTCCTCGGAGTCGGGG